CAGCAACGAACTTCTGAATAATTGAATCGATGGGCTCGAACGGCGAAGGCAAACCGTTGTCAGCTCCAGACTGATTGGCCACCAGCCCGTCCTTTCTCCCCAGAAGAACATTATAATAAGGCCTCCACTCTGAACAACAGCCGTCGTACGCAGTTTTAGCCTTTTGTCTGAAACAACTGAATGTTCCGACAGACTGGACTGTAATAGTAATACGGAGTACTAAGGGATAGAAGGAGCTTACAAAGAGTACTCCGTAGCTGGCTGCAAGGGCTACAATGTCAGCGCATGACACCACCTCGGGGCAGACGCTCTCAAGATCAGCTTTTATCGCGTCAATGACCTCGTACCCTCTGACTGAGTTCAGGTTGGGTTTTGCAAACTTTTCGCCATCGGCGCCATCCAAAAGGATTGAAGCGTCACACCCCTGCATGCATGCATACACCATTTCAGTAACTTCGTCATAAATTCAGTACTAGAAAAGAACATTACTAGAGATTCAGTCGTGAGAGGTAGATGTAGAATTCAGCCGAGTGTGACAGTTACATTGACAAAGCAATCATGGAAATGTAGCCTGAGGAGGAGGCACCCATCCTCATCTCAGCTCTCATGGCAGCGAAAAACATGATGCTGCACAATATAGTACAGCTGAGGGCAAGTGCTGTGGTAGAAATTCGGTGTTAGCTGACACCTCGCATCCTGGCTACTGAGGCACAGCGCAAGAACCGAACATACAAGCACCCAACGGCAGCAAGAGTTCTCCATTTCTTTCTTACTCAGTTATTGCTTGTCTTGTGTCTTGTGATCTCCACACTATATTGGGCTTGCACACTCCACAGTTTCTTGCCTTGTTCTTATATAGGAGGTGAAAAGTGATCCATCACGGAATATACTACCTCGGGTAGGCTAATTCAGCACGATAGTGAGTGACCGGCGGCTGCACAACATGCATGCAATGGTCTCCAATCTACGGCGGCTAGAAAGTTTTTTTAAACAATGATTAGACTGCACACTCGGAAGATGGCAATTGGGCTATTGGAGCACTGGCAAGGGCTCTTTTGCCCCGTTTTCTGATTCTGAATGGTGAAGTCACTAGTGTGATGCATGACTGATGGTGCTGCACTTAGCATGCTTCCCAGTGCTTTTTGTCTCAAGTCCAAAGTGGTAGTGGAGAGTGGAGAGACCCAACCAATGCAAGCATGTAATCTTATTGTAAAATGCATGTAGTTTCGTGCAGGATTTGGATTTTGGAGATGACTGCCTCAGAGATGAGATGATAGTTGGTGTACTATTCAATTGTGTAGCAGCAATAGTGCCATGTTTGCATTGTGGGGAAATTAATCTGGACTCTGCAAATGTTTCAGATGACGTTTGCTATTGTAGATATGCCATATATAGGTGCTGTGAGTTGGATCTGCATTACCAGTTATTGATGTACAGCGAACCACAATCGTGCGGCTCTTACCAATCTGTAATGCACTAGTCAAACAGAGAACAATTTAGTCTGTATGCCATCCTAGTGGATAAACATTGCAGTGAGATAGGTCCAATCTGATTCACAGTACAACCAGGAAAATTCATACCACTAGCACGTCTATATATGTTAATGGAAGAAAGAAAAACTGCACATCACATCACCTCTGTATAAGCAGAACGTGTATGCTACAACACTAGTGCAAAATAAAATTCTACCGACTTCAACGAATAGTCATGTGAGTAGGAGATCATAGATCATTACCACTAAACATATAGTGCAGCAATAGAAGAATTGGTGCAGCCCGATAACATCATCCGCATCGATGTAGAGAAAGTATACAGTCTTCCTCACATCCTAACAGCAGCTTCACGTCCGTCTACCTCATACTAGCAAAATCTATGTATTTAGAAAAGTTAAAACACTTTATAATTCAAATGGAGGGACTAGTTATCATATTGTTTATTACACATCTATATGTTAATGAAAGAAAGAAAAACTACACAACACATCACCTCTGTATAGGGGAATGGATATGCTAGAGCACACCGTTCCTTCACCGTGCCTCCTAAATTTTGAAGTTTGGTTAAGCATGATTTGTGCACGTGTGAAGGGTGTCTCCAACAATGTTAAAAGAGCAAGCCCAGGGGTGGCTAGCAGTCAGCTGTGGCTGGCCAGACGCGACCAGCGACGGACATGGCCCTCCGCGCGGCCGGCTAGAGTGCCTGGGGGCGGCCACAAGTCGTCTAGGGCAAAGATGAATGAGTCAAGTGATGGATTACCTCTTCCCTAGGATGACACAGCGGCGAAGATCGACTTGCTGGAGGTTGTGTAGTCTATGGCACGAGGGAGAAGAAGCCTGAGAAAATTTTGTGGGAAGAAGGGGGGTTCCAAGTGCCAAAAGATTAAGAGGTGGGATTAAAAATTATTAGACATATATTTTTCAAACTTGCCAAAAATCAAGGATTGTGAGAATGTTGTGGGTACTCTTAGAGATGCTCTTAGTTTCTACTTACAATCTAAACCGGCCTATTGTAGCAGCTCATTAAGGACTGATTCAGATTGGATCCTCATGTAGTCGAATACAGATAGCACTATTTACCACATTTTAATTCGAATTCGGATATTATCGGATACGAATACAAAATGATTGTCTCAAATTCGGATTCAGATTCTGATATCTACTAGATTTTGACGATAACATATATCTATCTGTCTGTCAATAGTTTTAGTAGAACAAAATTATTATGTGTGTAGAGAATATAATTATATATCCTCAATAGATAACGATAACTCAAAAAATAACATATATAATGAATATTTTAATAATTAAGTATATTAAAAACAATAAAACTAAATAATATTTATGAATTTAATTTACAATATTAAAAATATTTTCATCAATATATGAATAATTAAAATACTTAAAATTAAGATGTTTAGCCATATGAAAACTAACCTTTATAGGTCATTAATAATAATAAAAAATATATATTGTTATTGGCCACATAGTAGACAAGTTTTAACTAGTTTAAATGATGCATATTATTTGTTATATTAAAGTTGATATTATTTAGTTATTTACATTACTAATTAGTCATAGATATAAGTTTTAGATGGTTTTACATGTACTTTGTTATTTGCAGATACGGATAGTGTCGGATGTTGCACATTTTTTTTGAATACGAATCTGGAATCGGATAGAGAAAAATCCTAGAAAACAAATACGGATACATCCACTTATCGGGTGTTTCGGATATTTTAACATCCACATCCATCCCTACAGCTTATGATAAATTATAGAGATATATCACCTATGAATACCTATCCTCAGGTCATATACGACCGATATTGATTTTTAAGGTTAAAATTTAATAACGCAAACAACCTATTATAAAATATTTTATTAAAAAAAGTTTAGAACGTCCTATCCGGTTGCGATACGAAGACCGGGTCCACATGTTCACGTCCAATACGAAGTCCTCAAAACTCACGCGTCCGCATCCGATTACCGAGGTTCCATTTAAATAATTATGACCCCGGTACAACTCACGAGCATATATCTAGTTGACTCTAAAACGAATACGGATATTCAATGTTTCGGATTTTTTAACATCTGCATCCATCCCTATAGCTCATGATAAATTATAGAGATATATCACCTATATATGAATACCTATGGCATATACGACCGATATTGATTTTTCAGGTTAAACTTCAATAATGGAAATAACCTATTATAATATTAAAAAAGTTTATTCTTCTAAATAGTAGGAGAAAAACTAATGTAACCTAAATTCTCGCACAAATCAAGAGACTATCTAATCTAACTGTAACACAAATGTGAACTAGTTAAACTAAATCTAGAAACTACTTAATCTGAATGTAATTACTATCTAGATCTACTGTCTACATGACTATTATTAAAATCTAATACCTAGGTAAATACTAATTATATCTATGAACTAATATGAACGGTGGAATCTCTGCTGACTCCTCTCCTCTCCTGTCTTCCACTTTTTTTTAATAAAACTGAATTTTGGCCAATTTTTTGGCCTTTTATAGGGTGGAGGGGCCACAACAACAACATTTGAATGAGACAGCTTAGGTTCCGTTCGCTTCGCTGAAAAAACAAGCCGAAACACTGTTCTGGCTGAAAAAATAAGCTGAAAAAGGCGGATTATAAGAGAAGCGAACAGGGCCTTAACCGCAAGTTCATTTGACGATAACTGCATGGCAGCGGCGCTGACACATACCGTATGTGCAATTCAACCTCAACATCCATAGAATAAAAATGAAATAAAAAGCATCAGTGGAGCGCCTCAGCAGAGCAATGTTTCCTCCATGAAATGCAATATGCTTGAAATGTGCAATAATGATCAATAATGCTTCAATCGACTTCAAGTGGTTCTACGATAGGTGGATAACTGTGTTTTTACACTCATATTGAGATACATGGTATCGGTTCAGACTTCCTATTACCTAAGGTATAATGAAAGATATGCAAAACTAGTCCCCAGATAATATGGGCAGATTTAGTGGATTTTTGCGTGGCCCCACCTGACCGGCGGCTATATTTACCGTCCTTTTAAACCGGTGGTGAAACATACGGAGACAGGATCGCGCTGCATTTACTTCTTTATGACCACATGAGCTGGCAGTTGATAAAACCACAGTTTGAAACACCCCTGTACCGAGCCGTTTTTTAATAACACCTTGTCAAATGGCAGCATATGCCTAGATTCACAAAACTTACTACATTTTGATATAAAAAAACAAAATTAAAATATAAAAATTCCACTTTAGTACGGAAAGCCTGAAATAACAGATCAGGTAGGCCTGCTCGAGCAAGGCCTGTAGTTGCTAGGATTTTGGGCTTATGTTCCAAGGCCCGGCCCAGCTCAAAACTAGCCGCGGACTTCGATGACACTTGTCTTCTCCACGGCCCGAAGCGTCTCTCCTGCAGTCTGCTCCCACACACGCCTCCCCTGACTCCGCCATCAAAAACGTCTCCAAAACCCCACCTGCAATGAGACCCGCAGCCGCAGCAGCCACCGCTACCGCCGCCGCGCTCCGTCGCCGCGCCGCCTCTTCCTCCCTCTCGCCGCCTCTCGCCGCCCTCCTTCCTTACCGTAGAGCCTCCCTCATCCTTCCTCCGCTGCGCCGCATCTGCTCCCCTGCGCCTCCCCACGCCTCCGCCGCCCCCGATTCCCATCCCCCGCCGCGGTTGCCCTCTCCCATCATGGACGCGCAGTTCGAGCTCTTCCGCGCGCAGCTCGACGAGTCTTCCACGCTCCGTGACCGCATCCGCGCCGTCGTCGCCGAGATCGAGTCCGCCTCCCGCGTCGCCACCGCCGCGCTCCTCCTCGTCCACCAGCCCGTCCCCCTCGCAGGTTCCAGTCCCATCTCCCCCATTTCACTTCTTCTAGGGTTTCGCCACACCCAGACCGTTGCGCGTAATCTCGTTGCTTACTCCGGAACTGTTTACCGTCTTCTCTCTTCACGTAGATGTGCTCGTGAAGGCCAAGGCACAGGTGGAGGTGATCAAGGGGCTGTACGCGCAGCTGGCGGAGGTCCTCAAGGAGTGTCCTGGTCAGTACTACAGGTGAATTGTTTCATCCATATTGGCGCATCTGTTTCCAGGTTATTAGAAATCGGGTTGTGGAAAGAAACATGTCTTGTCTCATGTGTTTGGACGGTTGTGGCTTAGGTACCATGGTGATTGGAGGGCCGAGACACAGATGGTAGTGTCGATGCTTGCATTCATGCACTGGCTGGAGACTGGCGGCCTACTCATGCATGCTGAAGCCCAGGAGAAGCTAGGGTGTATGTCTGGGCTCTGTCCATTGTTGCAGTAGTTGCATTGTGGTAATTGTTAATCTAGTATAGTGTCTCACGGCATCTAAGTTTGTTTTTTTATCCTGGCTTTTTCAGTGCCCTCTGGGGAGTTTGGCCTTGATGTTGAGGACTACCTGACAGGTTAGTGTCTCTATAAGTGTATACTACTTCTTCTCTGTGTAAAAGTTGATGCTAATCAGTCTTGAGTGTTATGCACAAGAACTGTACATGGAAAAATTTTCTTATCAATCTCCTTTGGATTCAAAGTTTCTGAAAATCCTGATGCATCTAGGCATGTTTACCTTGTTACTGGCATCAATTACTTATTGCTTGAAATGTGAGAACTATCACAGTATTGTCAAGCAACTCTTACTCATTTTGTTTCTAGATTTATGACACCTATGTCTTGTAAAATTTTGTGTGCAAATTATGCTGTGTACTTACATGAGGACTCACTTGTTTTGCAGGACTGTGCTTCATGTCCAATGAATTTGTAAGTTCATCAACTCATCAAAGAAAGCAATAGTTCTTGTGATTTTATTTTGTTAAAATAGCCCCTTTTTGGTTATGCTTGTGACCGCTTCAAACAACAGAAAAACTTCAATGTGCCCAAGTGTGAACATATCACTGTTACAAAGAGAAATTGAGAAAATCTGAGGACTAGAACCAATTATGCTTCAAGCCAATAATTAGATGCCATCAGTTGGAGCTCTAGAAATTATTTATATGTACCTGTGGAGATCTTATGTATCAAGATATGTCCAAATAATTAATTTATATATGAATTCCACCTATGTTATTCAGAACTAATCATTTTACATTTAAAATGTCAATCATGCAGTAGAATTACAAAGTCATCAGGTAGGACTAAAAACTACTCTGTGATTTTGTTTCATGATTGCCATTTTACATTCAATTGGGCTAGTTGCTGCATGCCAGTTGCCATACAATTTATGGAATTGAATTTTGTACACAATGGTTTTCTGACTCTTTTATCTTGCTTAGGAAACTCGCTTTTAAGCTCCATTTTAGTTGTAGAGAGTTTGGAATTGTGATAATATTTTGTGTTTTGTACTAGGTAATGGCCTGTGCGTTGCTATGGGCATACAAAACTCAAAATAAAACATTTATTCTAAAAGATTATCATACTAAGGCCATTTTATTTGCTTGTGCAATAATTAATCTGATATTTTTTTGGTAGTAAAAACTCAAATCAAATACCTTAAATTCATTCTAAAATTCAGAAGCTTTTATGACCTTTCAATTTGGTTCTGTTTAATAAGTTTCATGAGCCGAGATACATGTATCCTGATATTCCTAAGTAAATCAATTGATGAATTGACATGGCTTGTGCAGAAGTAAGACTCCTTTACAGTCTTTGAAACAAAATCACTCAAGTGTTGCACATCTAGCTAATGACCCATGCGTAGCATAAAATTTGTTTCACCTTTTTCCTACACATAAGGACCAAAATTCAGTCGTGCACAATGATAGCTATACAAATTTCAAAATGAAGCAAAAAGCATCATTAGTGAGGAACAATTTTGGATAGATGCAGATTTTTTACCACTTAAAGATATTATATATCTCCATTCTTTTGAAAGAAATAATATCAAAGATAGTGTTGGCAACCATTGTTGAGATTTTGCAATCATAAAAAAAATTGAGATCTTATTACATGAGACCAAGCAACCAAACCACCTTGCGGGCATGGAACATTTCTCCTCCCACATTTAGAATGACATCAACACCCTCCTGATCAGAACCAAAATGGTAGCCAATGTTTTGAGTCTGGAACTTGGATAGAGTGGTGTGCCATTTTTTTCTACTTGTCCACAATGTCCAGCAGCAAAAGGAAAATTCTTCAGCTTATTTGTGCTCCTGTCCACATGTTGAAGCCTTCACTGATCATGCTGGAGCTCTGGCCTCTCCATCAATCCCAGTGGCTCATGCTGTCAGCCTGTCACTATGTCATGTCCAACATCACCCAGCTGCTAAGCTTGACATTAGATACAATGGACTGTCCATATTTCAAGATTCACCATGCAAAAAGAAACAAATGCTACCAATTGCTAACTAATCAATTCCAGGACACTTACAACTGATTATAGCATAAGGTCAAGAGTAAAACATGGCATAGTTGATTATGATTCTTCTCGTGCAGCCAAAAGATGACATGAACAATATCAAGTATGGATGTACGTAATCCTACTTTTATAACCCATGGAGGCAATAGAAAGACTAAAATTGCAGAGCACCCAAGACTATAATCTGCCTCAAATCTGAACCAAAACATAATACTAAAATTGAAAGAGTCAATGGAGAATGGCTATGATATATACAAATTTGACCAATGTTGTGTAATCCCTCAAAACCAAATCGATGTCATTTGACAAAGGCATCATCTTGTTATTGCGATTAGGAGCTCCTTGGTACTCCAGACCCCTTTTGTTTGATTTTCTGCAACTTTTTTTGACCATAAATACAGCAGGGGAGGCCTCCACTGTAAGAATTTTATTAAAAATAAGAAACAATGAAACAACTGAACAACTGTACACTAAGAGAGGAAAATGAAACTTCAGTAAGTACAGAGATCATCTGCAAGAAAAGAGAAGCAGCATTACCATTTAATGTTTTTTTTTTTTCTATTGGCATCTCTCAAAATCCCAAACGTTCACGGGTGTCATATTGGATCAGGGTAGAACTTCAAGTCTGTTCGACAAAAGCTATTTGATGACATCTTTAAGACTTTCAGCACACAATGAATACAGCGTTGGTACAAACTAATGAAATAGCATTAGACAATCATCACCTTAAACCACGAACTGATTCTCTGTGAGCACTTTTATTCACTTTGACATTGGTTCATGTTATGGACTTAATTTTCTTTGAGCATGCAAGGAATGTAACCCCTAAATATTTGGATTGCTGTTTAACAAACTCACAGAATGCTTGGTTACATTTCCTTGTAACTTACAAGGACAGTATGAACAAAATCCTAGGGTTTTAGTTGAACTAAGAGATGCTGACGCTACAGTAATTGGTCACCAGGTATAGTTGTGTGCCATATATTTGAGTGATTTCTGTAGGAACAAATTTGGCCAAAGTTGAAACTTCTCTAAGAAGCCAACTTAATTGTAGCATTTTCCTATAGATCCATATGCACTTTTAACAGTTTTGCTACCTTAGATGGAGTAGAAGCTGGGCATTTGTTCCCATGTTCATCATCAAGTAGCGGTTGTAGGTGTTGTAAATTGGGGCATGTGAGCAACTAGATTTTCATATTGCTCAAGATAATAACTCATGCTAATCTCTTAAAGGATAATCCTGCAATAAATGTAAAACTGCATAACATGTGTCTAACTATCATGTCATACATTCCCTTTGGTGAATTCTATAGCAGAAAGGGAGCATTTAGACTATGTTATAATTATAGACACTGTTTTTGATGTTTCAAAAGATTTTGAGGATAGTTGTCTTTTCTTGTGACTGCAAGGAATGAAGTAAGGGATGGTGTTAGTTTCACATGATTTTAAGCATATGGTGTGAAACGGAATAACGATGATTTGGAAAAAAAACGAGTCCGTATTGATCACAAAGAAAGTACGAATGGTTATGCCATATTATGTGTTGTGAACTACTGAATTACATCCATGTTAATGATTAAAATCTGCACACCCGTGGTTTAGAAGATTGTCTAGTCTCGCTGATTGTCTTTGCTGCCAAAATGGTGTATGCATGTGTGAAGTTTGACCATAGTCGCAGGACTCAGGGTTGGAGGCGTGTTCCACGAACTTGGAACGCTGTCCCAATTTGAGGGTCCAGGACGAACTGGGTTGCTGCCCCGTTTTGCTTGGGTTGCTGCCCCGCTTCAGAAGGGTTATATCTGGATCAAATTTACTGCACTGAGTAATGGGGAGCAAGAGAGGAGGCTATGGAAATTGCCATACCTAAGATGAGGGAGGGAGCCTGTCGAAGTGGACTTGCTGGCCACCTGGGGACCCCAATCTACAGTTTTGTCGAAATGAATGTGCTTCTTAGTGACCCAGTTCACCCATGAACCTGGTCGACTTGGGTCGTTGACCCAGATTAATTGGGGTCAGCGTTCCAAAGTAGCCCCCCCTCGACCCACATATCTATGACATCCGCGACCCCGGCCCGTGACCTGGTTGACCCAGATTTCTTTTGACTGAGTTTGACACCTTTAGATCTTGAGCACAAGTTCAAACTTATTATTAATAATAATAGAGCGCACAACTCTTTGACATGGAAGTGTATTGTCATAAATGAGTATATTTAAGTAAATCTCGTGACAATCATTGCAAACTTGTCCAATGGTTGACACTTGCACATTTTGGCAGCAATTAGGGAAAAAAGCTATGCTTAGAGGAAATAATTCCTTCAAAGAACTTAAATGCTTTGATGATTAGCTTCCTTTTACCACCGCCCCTTCCTATTATGACTGGACTGGTTATACATTCTCTGAGCTTCTATTTCTTTTGGCATCAATTGATATGCTCCCTCAATTTTGTTCAGTTTGTTCACTGAAGTTGATTCTTCCATTTCATTTCATCATTTATTTTACATTATCACATTTCCTCCAAAAAATGGAATAAATGCATGATTGCATATGCTAACTTTACTTTAAATACTAAGTCAATTTGTACTATTAATATGATAGTAAAATTATACACAATTGGATAAAAAAATAAGTAGGTTGAGGGATCATGGTCAACATGTACTGATTATTGAGATGAATTTAAGATTTTGTGTGAGCTCAGGACCAATCCATTTTATTCTTTTCCATTGGTGTCTAGTATGTTCAGCCCATTTTCTTTACACAGTTAAATGAACAAAACATCCTAGTTGCTTCATGACATCAAGGGAAACAAATAAATGATTGAATCATATAGCACCTCTTCCTTCCATAGTTTCTTAATACTTACACTTCGAAAATTGGAACCTGGACTGATGTGCTGTCCGTGGTGTACTTTAGGTGAAGGCAAAACTGTCAGTCATGGTTATCATCAAACTTTACATGACACCACCTGCATTTCATACTGGATAGAGATATATTTGGTTATTGCATGGATCGATGTTAGAAAAAGTTGTAATTCTCACCAGCCCTAAACTGGAATTAATAACTGTGATGATATTTTTACAGCCTAGATTTGTAGTAAACCGCGTCACTGCTGGCGATTATGACTGTCCTAAGAGGGTTTTGGGCTTCTTGGCTGATCTTCATGCTTCGTTTAGGATGCTGAACCTGCGCAATGACTTCTTATGTAAGAAATTTGATGGTGAGTTTATCTGTTATCAACTTGTTTAAGCTTTTAACTGAAAACATGGCCTGATCTATTGCTGTATATTAATGCTATGTTCATGGTTGTTATGCTTTCATGGTATGTAATATGGCCTCCTCTCTGTTAATCATTTTGCAGGGATGAAGTATGATTTGAGGAGGGTGGAAGAGGTCTACTATGATGTGAAGATCCGAGGACTTGTACCTGCGGAGTTGAAACAAGAGACTCAATCGTAGAATCCTTGGTAATGTTAACATACTTTGTGGTTTGGCTTTTGCCATCCATAACGTGTTCATCTAGCTAAAATGCCAAAAGTTTTTGTTAGAGCGTGTGTTATGGACTGAACTGGTGTTTTGGGGGCACTCGCATGACCTTGCTCATTTCTTTTGCTGTGGCGCCACATGTTCATGCATTTTACCTCGGGATGTACATTTTGAGTTAGATTTCGTGAACTCTGGAGAGAATAATTTAATGTCTCACCTTGCCTTTCACAAATCTTGATGCTTATCTAATGGTAATGTAGATGTTTGGATTTTCATTTGGATTTGTGGTTTGTAGGCAAGGCAATGATAGGTGTGTTTGGTTTGAGGAATGAAACGGTTCATCATTGTTTTAATCTCCTTTTTTTTTTAGTTTTAGTGGAATAGAATGGGTTGGGTTGGTTCTTCGTCACCTCATCATATGCAAGCCAATAACTAGTACAAGGATGAGGAAAATCAAGTTCCGAGTCAGCCTGTTCGCCGGGAGTGGGATGAATTTATAAATCTGCAGTGGTTAATATTACTGTGCTTGCAACCGTAAGCAAGATGTCACTGTTCTTGCAGGGGTAAACACAGGACGGTATTGACGAAAGGAAAACCAGTGTAAGATCCCTGAACCTGAATTGGAATTTGCTTAAAAACGCATCTACAAGTTTTCTAGACATTGCCCGTACGTCCGTACACAGGCTGCATTCCATCCTGTCCACCAGCAAGTCGATCTTCTTGTCAGGTGACTCTGCATGCAGAGCATACGATGCGGGCAGCAAAGCTATGCATGTGCGGGTCCAAAACACTTAATTCAGGGGCAACATCCAAGGATCCATAATTCGCTGAAAATGGTCACTCCAGTTACTTTGAGCATCTCCAATAGTTCCTAAAAAAAAATTGATAAATCAATGAGTTTTACAAGTGGCTAAAAAATTAGGATCATATTTATTGGATTCTTCTAATAGTTTAAAATCGTGCTCCTAAAATATAGAAGATAATTTTACATCATGAATATTAGATTATTTTTAAATTACCATGACAACTTTTATACTTCCTTATATATTTGTATAATTGTATTAGAAGCCTTGTCCTGCTCCCTATTCTTTCTTACGGTGGCGTGTATATTTCTGCGTGATAGAGTTTTTTCTAAGTGCCGAAAGACGGAGAGTTGAGGCTCGAGAGAGGGAGTTGTCGGAGAACAGTTTTTTTCCCTTCTAATCTTGCTTAAAAAATCAGAGTGGGTTATGAAAACTCTTCGAGATGGAAGAAGCGTCGATCAGCGTCCTGAATCCTCCGTATATGATATACTGATATATCCGAAAAGAGTGCTACTGCTTAGCCTCCACAGAGGCTCAGACTGGTAGGGTGTGTTTGGTTTCGTGGTCAATTTTTAGCCTGGCTAGAATCCTAGTCTGGATAGCCTTAGCCTGCTCCCATCAAGCCAACTCCTGATTGTTTGGTTGTCTGTGCTGTCTAAGCTTGGCTAGCACTAGGATGTGTTTGATTGTCTGGTTTGTTGTAATACGGTTACCTCTTCTGCAAATTGGTAAGGTTACCCTCTTTGAGGCATTTCCTCGAACAAGTGGTGGGCAGCGAGCACAAAGGGTAGAGTAGGGCGAGCATGCAGGGCGGCACCACGGTGGACACGGCTGAAAGGTCCTAATATGGCTAGAGGGGGGTGAATAGCCTATTTAAAAATCTACAAATCACTAGAGCAATTGATTAGTACAACAAACGACGTAATGCAATTTTGCTCTAACTCTACAAGGGTTGCAAGCCACCTGTTTGTAACACCTCTTGTGTTACGAGCTTTCTTAGCACCTAGATTTAGGTCTAAGAGGGATTAGCCTAACAAATTTTCGGGTTTTAAAAATTTATAACGTACGTGAAATGATAAGCGAATTCTATGTGACTCACTTTTGTAGACTCAAATAAATATCCAAGTTAACTTATTTAGTGCGTAAAGTGCTAATGAAAATCCTAACGAGAAAAATGACATAAGTTGTTTTAATTGTTTGGCACGAAAAATAATTTATATAAACAAAAATAAAATATAACTTGTGTGTAATACTTAAGTAAAGATGACGAGCAAGTGGTGTAGTTGAAGATGCAACTTTAAATTGTGAAAATAAATGTTGTTAATTAGTGTTCTTGGGAGCTCAAAAATCAAATTTGAAGTTGAGATAAGCTCTTTTCGTTAAGTCGGCAAACACTTGAACTATTGTTTAAAATGCCATTTTTGACGAATTATATTGAGCAAAATAGTTAAATAGTGCTTAAGTATTTCGTTCCTACGGTCTAGTATGAAGTATGGGCTATCACATGTAGTATTTCTTGGTTGAAGTTACTAAGGTATGGACCTCTTAAAAATTGTGGCAACAAGTGTTCATGGATGTTATGTCCAAATTGAACCCTTGCCTTTTCTAGTCGGAAAAGAGTGTTGGACAATGCTATTTTGATGTTTAAGTTCTAACTAAAATGCTTAGACACTAGCTCCGTGATTTCGTAGTGTTAGTTACCTCTAAGTGAGTATTTTAGCATGGTGAAGTCCACGGATGAGTTGGAGTTGTTTTGGCGTCGCAGAAATTGCCCTAACTTTGTTAGAACGCGCTGTCGATCTTGTTTCGGGTTTCGGTCATGAACTGGCGTTCTGCGCAACGAGCTCCTGTTGACACCTCTCTATCTCCCTCGATGCTCACTCTCCGGCCATGCTCGTTGCTCGAACTATAAGCCCTTAGTGGCTACTAGAATCTTGAACTCTTATTTTAATCTCAACTAGGCTCTAAGCGGTTGGTTTTGATGCTTTAAAATTCGTGCTTCGCACGTGTCTGGCTGTTTAGCTAGGAGTGTGTGGTCACCGCATTCGGTGCGCGCTGTGGCTGTTGGTGGCCGCCCTCGGCCTGGCTGTGGCGTGGCCGTGGCTTGGCCACCTTCGGCTGCGACGCCTGCTGCTGGCCGATGGCCTCGGCACTCGCCCCTCGGCCACCGCTGCCACCCTGCTGCGCGGGTGCCCCACTGCTGCCCTCCTTGTCTCGAGCCGTGCCGCTGCTCATAGCGCTGTCCCACGCCCTCCGACTCACCCGGCCGCTGTAGCATTTGTTCCCAGCCGCACAACCCACCTACCAAGCTCGAGCTCGACGTCATACGTAGTCTACCGCATCGCGACGCCACGCTGCCGCGTACACATGGCCGCACAGGCACCCCTAAGGGCTCCACCCGAGCAGTAACCACATGACCCTTGCCCTCGCTCGTGAAGTTGTGTGCTCGTGCTGCCATGCCTTGTCGGGTCTTGGTCGGGTCACCTCCGTCGGGGCCACTCCCTGCGACATGGCGGTGGCAGTGCGCCGCTCTCCTCTCCCCTTCATAATCACCAACTCAAGCCCTCCCAGTCCAATTCCTCGCACCGGTGGGTAGCTTAGCAAGTTAGCTAGGTGTCGCATTCTCATCGAGCCCAGCCGTGGTCTGTCAATGGTCAATTTCGGTTTCTCCTCACCGCCGGTCATGTGCGCCGTCGTGACTAGAGGGTTGTGGTAATGCCCGTAGGAGTGGTAACAGTTCAATTGGTCATAATCCTGAACTCGCCTTGTCTCCCTCTATCCGGTGCTCACACTGTTTTGGCCAGGGAACTCGTCGGCGACGTGGTGACACATCGGTCTCCAGCTTGGGGGCGTCGCTGCCATGCCCGGGCGCACATGGCTAGACCACCTCAGCTTTTCCTTGCCTCAACCGTCACCGCAACACGAATTCTGGTCAGCTACTGGTGCTTAGCCGCTATCTCTACCACCCTGATAGAATCTTAGGCCACCGAAATAGTCGCGCCGTCGCCACGGATATCCGCTCGCCGCTGCAGCCCACGACAGTGCGTCTCCGAGTCCCTAACCACCACCCTGTCGTGTGCGTTTAGCCATAGATGGTGGTCGACCCCTTACTCCCGTCTTAGAGAGCTTAGGTTGCTCAGCGTAGCTACCCTATGCCGTCGGCCGTCGCGCTGGCGAGCGCGGGGATTCTAGGGACCTGCCCGTGGTGAGGACAAAAACAATCGAGGGCTTGGTCGCAAAACCACTGCCAGTAGGAACAGTACACATGGTAGTCGTACTATTACCTCGAAGCTTGCGGGCTTCTCTACAAAACCATCGTCGCGCGCAGGCCCCCGACCTTGGGCGCGTTAGGCGTGCAGGACAGCATGACAGCGGCAGCATATGTTGGGTTGTCTTTGGGCGAATGCTTGCCACCGGCCCTTTTTGTTTTCTAAAGCATTTTCTAATTTAGTTTAACTTGTAATTTCAATATAAAATTGTGTAGTTAACCAAAAATTGTGAAACCAATTTTGTTAGGTTCCTAAAATCATGATCTATTTGCTAGTATATTTTGTTCACATAGTTTTATAACATTTTCATGAGTGATCTAATTATTTTGAGATGCTTAATATTGTTAAGATATAAACTTGAAGGAATTTTTGTGATAAATTGGTGATGGTGTTGGCTCTGAAACTTTCACAATAAATTCCTAACATTATTAGGTGCTCACTGTAATTTTTGTAGCTCCATAATAATTAGTTTGCTAAGGTAGCTAAATGAGCCATAGTTTGAAAATATATTTAATCAATAAAATGCCAAAGCACCTTAGGGTTGTAGAACTAAAACATTTTCCGGAGACAAAGCCTTATCTTGACGATGTGGATACGTAGACTAGTACGTTAGTCATTAAAGCTAGCTCATTAGCTTGCAGAGCGTAATCGTATTTCTTAGAGTTTCGGTTCCCGTTGATTATTTACGTCTTTGCATTGCATCCACGTATATCATAATAGGAACAACTATGGATCGTGGAGATGATCGGAGTAGCAGAAAAGGTGGTGCCTTGATGGTTGTGTCACCATGATGGAATGCTAACTTTTGGTTATATCTTACCCAGGCAAGCCCTGGTGCATAACCTCTATTATTTTGCACTTTATCTTATGCTTGTGCATTAAGTTTTAAGGAGTTGTATGA